ATTGTAATTTGTTGAACTTTTTGGGAATCGTAGATGATTCTGGATTTGGTTTGTTATGGTTTAGATAATTTATATGAATAACAATCGATAGTCTAACGTTAAACTAAAATTGAGTGTTCCCGAATAATTTTTATTCTTGGTTAACTACCAACAGAGTAACATGAAAAACGCTACTTAATTATGTTGTAAATTAATCTATTACCCAACAATAATTTTTATTTCTTGACGAATACAATTCTCTGCTTGAACGTTCCAATTCAATTAATAAAACTGTCTTTTAAATCTTAAACTCTCTCGTAAAGGTAGTACGAAAAATAATTGAAGACAAAAAGGATTATAAATTAATTAATATGTCCACGAAAGGATATCTTTGAGATTTTATCCACCCACATTATGAGTTACAAAAATGGAGTACTTTGGATAACAATAGGTAATGTGGAACATTGAGGGGACCTGGAATTTCCGGTGAACATTTGAAAAAAGCCGGATTTTTTGATAATAGAAGGAGGCATCCGCGAAGACAGGGTGAAAGAGGAAGGAATAGGATTGGGCGGAGGAGGTCGAAGGGTAGGGGCGCCGCGAAGTGGTAATAGTTTTAATCCGGTGTCTTGAAGTCGGGATTTGGTGGCGCAGCAGTTAGTGGCTGCTGGTAAGTCCAAGCGAACCCACTTCGCGCTCTGATATCATAATCCGAATAATCACTATTATTGCCGCCATTTGCTTAATCCGAAGCTCGGCCGCTCGGTTTTCCACGCTTCGGAGCTCGGGATCTGTTGGCCGATGATGATGCCGGATATTGTATCGAAACTCCGTACCCAGAATTTCTGGCGGAACCTGTTAAATCACTTCGTGATGCGATAACCGATGGATCGAACGATCTTTGAAATTAGAGCCTGATGAAACTGTTCGCTGAACTTGTGTAAAGTATCTTAACAGGGTAAAAGGTTCATCTTTCGCAATCATTTTCCTCTGGATTTCGACTTGAAAGTCTTGCATGTTTAATGTTGAAGCTTTAATTTGACTTTCAGACTCTTGAATCTCGAAGTTTCAGTAACAGACATTGAATTTTGAATTTTTAAGATTAACCTTTAAATAAATTACTCTGTTCATTGTGCTCATTACGTTCTGATATTTTCATGTTTGCAATAGTAAAATAAATCAATTTATGATAGGACCTTCTAATATGCTTTTAATAGGATACTGTTCGAAAATTTTTGCTTCGTGCAGCGTTTTGAGAAGTGGTTAAATATTGAATGGAAGTAAAGTAGCAATTATATTTACTACTGTCTATCTTGATCTCCTTTTAACATACGTTTTCTGCTACTGATAGGGGAAATAATGTTTTGCTATATACTGTTTTGGAATTTAAAGGAAGAAAATTTTGGTCTTTATACAAATCAACAGTTAACTCACGAATAATTAAAACACTTACTTTTATTCGCAACTTTAGAATTTTATCTTCAAAATACAATACTAATGAAAAAATATGTTTGCATAACGTACCGCTTTATTCTCATTAGGACAAAATTAACATTAATTTCGTTACTTTACATTCCAGCATAAAATTATTCATTTTTAACGGTTTATAACTTCTTTATTTATTATTGTTAACACAATTCCTATCATCGTACATTAATATTAGATTTACGGACGTTTATTCTACATTTTATTCTATTGATTCTAGAAGACTAGGTGTTCGTTTATATAGATCGTGAAAATTGTATCTTCGAAGCTAGAGTATTGCAATGTGTATTTGTATAATTACACGAATCAAAATTGACTTAAATTGTTACTAAATTATGTTTAGAAAATTCAGTATTCGTCAAATTGACGGATTCCTTAAATCTAGTGTTAAAACAGACACACAAAAAACAAATGACAACAGTTAAACTGTCAAGATCATCAAAGCTTGCTACAACGTATTACTATATAAAGTAACTAAAATAACTACGTTTCGTAAAATCACTGGTTACACCGTGTCTAAAAGAATCGAAGTGCAAGAGATCAATGAAATCATTCGTGAAATGGTAAGAGCTACCATTTAAGGGGTAACATCAAATTAATTTGAATTATGGTGAACGAGACGAGACACGAAGCTACTTAATTCACAGGTAGGGTAAAAAGGAGTGAGGTCTACCCGTTCGCTCCAAGTTGTCCTTCGCATTATAATTTCATAATAAGTCGAGCCCAGAATAAATGCATTACCTTCCTGCCGACTTCCCGCTAATTCATAATTCCGAAGTTTTTCCGGAAACGAACGAAACGTTTAGCCTCGGCCGGAGCCCGGCGAACAAACTGGTCAAATTAAGAGCGGCAGTTTATGCGAAAGTTTTTTCGTTATTTCACTTAAGCAATTTCAGGCTTGGTGGCTGGAGAGGCCACTGCGGATCCTCGGAATCGAGGGAATTTATAAGAACGTACGTAGCGCCGCGTTAAATACAGGGCATAAAAGACCGCGGAACAGTTTGTAAGAGAGTCGCGGCCATTAGAACGAATCTCTGGGATTTAATGTCTCCTTCCTTCCTTCGGCTTAAATAAGGCTAAATGGGGTTTATGCATTATTGCCCGCGAAACTTCTAGCATCGCGACAGATCTTTACCACGGTCGAGAGGGAGAAAAGTTTAATCGTCGTCCCGTGGACAGATCCTGCGAACCTGCGAAAATCCATACGGAAACAACAGATTATCATAAATCAGTGGGGGCTCGTGATTATTTGAAGAGCGAGATATTATTTTAGGAAGCTTCGCGATGATTATCGAAAGTATCTATTTAACACTAACCGTACCAGCACTTTTCCTACTAGTCAAATAATTGGATATTAATCTATTAATTTTGGAATTCAGTTTAAGAAGTCTCTCGTTTTGCGCGCAATAAGATCAAAAAATGAAGTGTGTACTCGTCAAATGCAGGACGAATGCACCTAGGGTATATCTTAATGAAAAACTAAAGCAAAACAGAGAAGGTAATTCTTTACTGGTAATACTAACTCTTTCAACGATGAATTCTTGATTTTTTCAGATAAACATGTAATTCTTCTATATTTTGCTTTGGATTTTCATTAATATGTACCTTAGGTGTATGAATCCTGCGTATCACTAGTACACACTCCATTTTTTCATTTCATTGCGCGCAAAACTCCACAGTTGATAGGTTAAAGAAACTTAAAAACTTGCTCGGAATAACATTTCCTCATTACATTAAATTACTTCACTCACAAAAAAGCACGTTAATATTTCAATTGTCCATTGTACCATCATTTCGACGAAAACAGACATTAAATTATCCGATGATGCGACGCAATTCTGACCAACGACCCGGGAACACGTAAAACTCGCTTCGAACACACGAATCGGGGCTGGAGGGAACGCGGAAAAAAAGCTTTGGAAAATCTCGAGCATAATCTGCTAGCGCGGGGCTAATTGCGTCAGGTTCTAATCACCCGAAAGATTAGACGCGAGAACGAGGAGACGCGGTGACAGAGCCGCGAAGGGTAATGTTACGCGAGGCAGTAGTCTCGGTGGCATGTGTCGTTGATGAGGCGGTTAGTATTCAGCGGTGCTTTCCGGACCAGGAACTTTTGAAAACTAACCGAGTAAAGCCACCTTAATTCCATAAGAGGGAGGCCAAAGGGGTTCGGGCGTCATCGTAACACCCTCTTAATTACAGGATATTAGGACGCCCACAGGAGCCACGGAGGTGCAGGAAGCCAGATAGTGCGATTTATTATTCGCGGTCTACCTTATCTCGCTTTTTAGGAGCCGGATTTCTTGGTCTGTAAACTCCCCTCTCTGCTAACCGAGATTGATTTTCCGCTCGTGATGATAGAATTTTTAAATTACCGGTCAACCGTGGCTCCTCGCTGGAGGCTAGTATCCATGGGAAAAGAGGAACCATGGGAATCATTCAAGGCATGTTGACTAGCTGTGTATGTATTCTGTTGAGTTAGCTCGGACCAAACAGTTTCGCATATGTTAAATATTTTGATTCGACATCGATTATCTTGCATGTTACGATTGTTTTCAAGTAATTCAGAAGCGTCAGTCATCGGTGACTGACATGGCATTTAACGTGTTAATTCCGCAAAATGGGGAGTAGAAACATTTGATGGGAGTATCCGCATAAAGAACCAATTAAATAGTTTGGTATTAAAAGTTGGAAATAATCAAAAAGTAGAGTTAATCACTTTGATCCGTACGAGGTCATAGAATTCATTCGATTCATGTGTGTCTTGTTATTGTTAAGCTTTGTTTTAATTAGATTGAAACTTAAAGAAGTTAATCCTGGTGCGTTCTTAAAAAAAAGAAGAAATATGCTAGCTTTTATACAGTTAATTAAAAAAATATAATTAATTGAACTTACAAATGCTTAGTGAAACTTTAGTAATCCAAACAAGCAATTAATAAATTTTGTATATCTACTTGTTGTAACATTCCATTTTGTCGTGATATTTTTAATGCTATAAATAGATAAACTGTTCTGTGAAATAAATGATTGCGCGTGAAAAAGGCAGACACTGAAGTTTTTAATTTGCCTCATATGTTAGTATTATTATACATTAAATATTATTATTAACAAGAAGAAAACTAAAAATTAAAATTGAACAATTAAATAGTATTATCTTCAAATATTGAAACGCTGTCTGCACATAATTAATTCCTGGCGCACACAACCTTCTCGCATCTATGATCTCCATTACGCAAACCACTTGTTTGATCAGAGAAGGGTTATAGAATGCTCGTATAGGATCAAGCGCGCGTCCTGAATTACTTGTTTGACCAACTAAAAATTGTTGCAATCCTGATATTATTATAATTAGTTCATATTTTATTTATAAGTCTTATTAAGTATTATATTGACGAATATATTAACGGATAATTATAAGTAATAGTACGATACTTGTTTAGCTAATGATTTCATTTAACTACTTTAACTATGAATGAATCCAATGAATATCATTGAATGACAATCAGCGAAAATTATTCGGAAATACCGCTACTCACACACAAAGTATCTCCTCTTTCCCGTCTTGGAATAGCCCTTCTTTGCCCCATCGCTTAGGCAACTCCATTAGAACTATACCCATGTTACCCCATAGCACAAGTTGCGTGCCCGTCTCGTTGATCAGCAGATTTTTAACTTCGAAGATCGGTGGATCTGTGGGACGAAGTTTCTGAAACAAAAATCGAAGAAAATAATTTTGATCGCTATATTAATGTGTTACAAACAAAATCAAATATCGAATACGAAGTGAAAACAAATATAGAACAAATAGAAATAATTCTATACATTTCATATTCTTTGCACGGTTACTAATTTTTAAGATATGTAGTAAAATAGCTAGGTCATTTTGAACACTATAATTCCGCATCATCAATATCCACGTGAATAGTTAAATATACAATTGCCAAACGTTTGCACAAAATCTACATCTGCAGAAAGTTTCTTTAAAATGGCCGTGTGATTCTTGGATGATATTATTGTAAGCAAAACTTCTGTCGATTGTTCGTCGTGCAGCATTATAATTTTCATTTTCAGCGGTAACGAGATACTCTTGAACCCCATAACTTCCACTTTTACCCTCGCCCGCGCATCGTCTATCGATTAATAAACTTTATAATACGATCCTACTTCTCGTTTGTTTTCCAGTTTGATTTTTATCACGGCGGCCCGGGAAAAAAGGCAGGTGCACGACGAACCTCCTCCTCGTGCCGACCCCCCGCCCTCGAGATTTCTCTTTAACATCCCCTTGCCACGGGTCCCAGCCGACCCTCTTTCGTCTTGATATTTAATTTCGAACTAAGTTCGCAAACGCGAACATCATTACGCGTCGACATCCCCGCAGGTAGGGTATCGGCGCGTATCAAGGGGCAATTATTTTTTCACCCGGAGGGTAGTTTCTGCTAAGACGAAGGACGGGAGCCGAACCTCCGCGTTTTCCGATCTTTTACCGTAATTCGAACTAAGATAGCTGTGTTTGATTTTCGAATGAATTTATAAGGTTGTGTACTAATTTTATAATTAGACGAATCAAATTGTTTACTTGTAATAAAATGATAATTAACACATTGCGGAAGGGCCATAACACACGTGATTGGTCACAAGCTCTAGAACAGAAAACACGAGAATTCTCGGCTTTTCATTGCTGTCATTTATCTGTTAAATGGAACTGACCACTAGGTAAAGTTAGAAATAAAAATACTTCCGACAAATAAATACAAAATTGAAACTAAAATGTGCATGGTTCAGAATGTTAACTCAATCTGATTAGAGTTTGGAGAATTCGCTGATAACTCTTGCTGTTTCCGCATGGACATGTTTTTTTATTAGTTTATAATATTTTAATAAGTTTTTATGAATTGTTACTACCTAACCCTTTTTAGTGTTTCTGAAGTTATAAAATATTTAGTAAATGTTTCTGATGTATTCAATAGTACAAACGTCTAGAAATTCGATAGTATTTGATCTATTCCCTTATTCTGGTATTTCGTAAAATAATTTTCTTGGATTGTTTTTCAATGTTTAACTACTAATTGTTTTATTAGCTTTAAAGTGTGGCACTTAAGTTTGCCTCCTGGTCGTATCGTGAAGCCAGAAAGGGTGAACGTAGTCAGTGCTTGTAACAGACATCCATAAGATGGATTTGAATGCTCCTTGTCCGTCTCAGCCGGATCTAGCTCTTTGGTCTTACCTTTTAGTTAGACTGAGTCATATCTCTAGATAGAATTTTTAAGAATTTAAAAGAAAACATGCGATAGTTCGCTATGTTGTAGACATTCGTCACTTAAAATTAGAAAAGTCTTTTTACAATGATAAAAACACGATTTTATGAAAAACTATGAACAATTACCATTGCCATAGGTATTCAAGCAAACAAGCATAACACAGTAATAATTTTAACAGTCATAACAGTAAATTTTATATATTCTACATACTTCTAATGATTGTACGGTGAGGTTCACCTTATTTATGATAAATAAACATAAACGAAACGTTTATAAAATATCAAAAGTTTTTACTCTTTTTGTAAATCCTCGAAATTTAATACAAGTTCTATCTTTGTAGAAAGAACCAGAACTGTTAGATTCGGACGAAACCTCACCAACCGATGAGGAAAGCTCATAAACGTAGATACAAACATCCCACGACGCTATTTCAATTCAATCTCCGTCAGGAACATTCCGTTTGATTTGTAGACCAGGAAAACAGTGTGAATCTAAACAATCCGGGCATCGAGGAACAAACGCGATGCTGTAGCAGGTTGAAAAGTTTTCTTTTCATTAAGACTTATTCCCCAAGGACGATGGCGGTATGCAACGCGGGTAAGACACAGCCAGCCTCCTTCGCCCTCTCCCTCGCAGTTAGAAACACATTTATTAACGGCAGCTCATCTCATCCTACTGTTAAGCACCAGTAAGTGCTCTCCCTCTGTTATCCTCTCGCCGAGAGTTCTCTCATTCACTTTGCTGGCTGTCTGCCGTCCCGTTCAGGGGAGAAAGAAAAAAGACGTCACATCGTCGACGCCTTATTAATTCGGGTGTTGCGTGGGTGGGGGGTAGCAGCTCGAAGAAGGAAGGTGTCGCGGAGAGAGGCCCTTTGAAGAAATTAAAAGAACAGAGGGTATAATGTGAACACATTCATCCCCTGACCCTCTTTTTTCAGCTACCACCTTCCACCCCCTAAACCAGTGTTTCTTCTCTCTCTGTGCCATTGCAGAGTCAGCATCATTAACTCCGCCGTTCCGGAATGCTTTGCTGAAGAATGTCAGTCGGTGACGTCTCGAGACCTGTCATCAAGGTTTCTTAAAATCTACTGGTGTACGTTTATTCGCTTTTCTCTATTTTCATTTTGCCTGTCTTGTTGAGGGATCGCTAGCAGCCGCGCTGTATCATCTCTGCGTTTAATACTTTACTCGGTTATTTGGATTCGGGTGGCAGAATACTTTGTATAGACCATTTTCTCGGTTGCATATGGAATAATCGAATTGGGGATCTAGGAGATGCAAGAATGTTAACAGTTTGATGTTGGCATAATTACCATTAAGACTTTTGCGTGTCATCGGTTTAGTATGTAAATGTAGGTAAAGGTGAATTTTGGTGGAAACAACATACTTACTAGAGAGACTATTGCATATCTGTTCTATGTTGCTCAGGAGAAAAGCTCCGGAACGGCACAGGGGCAACAGCGATTTCTCGCTGTTTGTTTATAATTTTGATTGACCATTTGTTATCGTATCGATGAACAGTAAATTAGTACTGAAAATGAGATAAGAAAATATGGAAACTGACCAATTAGATCGATTATTCTTCTTAGATCTTTTCTCCTGAACAACACGGAGTACCTAATAGACGATCTAACAAGTTATTGCAGAAAACATCTATTGTACGCCTTTTATGTTAGCTCCATTGGTCTTAGGTTCCCACCGTGCCTTTGCTTCTTCGTTGTAGAGGCGAAAACAACAGACAATCGAGCGGCGACGTAATTTTTCACGAATTATTGTAATTTCTACAGTTTGTCTCTTCCAAGCGTAGCGTCGATGATTTAAAAGTGCACAGGGGCAAGGGGACTCTTCCACTCGCGACGGTCGAGCTGTCTCGGCTTTCGATGCAATGTTATTATTTGCGCGCGCCAAGGCCCGAGGGCTGTGAGTGGAAGAGTCCTCTCGCCTCTCTGCATTTTTAACCGTTTGAGTCCCAAGCGGCGCGATGGTGCTTCTCTGTTACATTGTCTAAATTTTTATTTTCATTTTTGTCTAAATTTTGAATTTTATTTTGAATTTTATTTTTGTTATTACTTGCCTAAGACTGGAAAAATGTAACGATTGTACCATTTAAAATTTGGTTTTGTAAAAACAGAAAAGCGTCATTCAGTTTCTAAATTGAAACGAAAGAAGCGCGATCGCGCCGCTTGACATTTTTCGAGTGGGTTTTTGCAAAAAACCGTGGGACTCAAACGGTTAAACCTAAGGCCGATGGAGTTAACGTGAGACGCGTATAGTACCTAATAGATTATTACCCAGTAACTATCCGAATGCAGTACGGCAATTAGTCTTAGAAATTCCTTAACTCTCTATCCACGATTCCACGTAGTCAAGTAGTATATCCAACGTCAAAATGTTAAGAGATCAATCGCAACGAAAAATCTTGATTTCCTAGTTTCCCTTTGACTAAGAAAACTGTTTCGACCGTACAGCTTCTTGATGACCGCTGATTCGGCAGTAAATGCGTTAACGTGAGTTGGCTACTCCGCGGAGAGAAAAAGGCAAACGCGGGAATCCCCGACTAGTCGTGACGCGCACTGCGGTGCGCACCAAAAGCAAAGACGGCAAACGAGCGCGTTATCCGAATAATGCAAAGCAAACCTCATCTGAGACGTAATCCGACATTTGTCCATATTAAGGTGTTAACGGGGCGGCGCGTTTTCGTTTCGCGCGTCTCCGCGCGTTACGCGCTTTGAAATTATATAGTGGGAGCATCAGTCGTCGTTAGCCGGGCTCCACCGTGTTAACTATGTGTATCTTGAGCACCCGTTACGTGGCCGTTTGTCATCTGCCTCTTCTCCTACATACGCGTTATTTTCCGTGTTAAGATGCAGGGCTTCGCGGCGAATGTTTCAGTTTCGGAGGACACGTTGTTCATGGATATGCGGCTGTTGGCCGAAGAGAAACGACATCTGCTGGCGACTATGGATTCGAGAGGATCAAGGAAACTGCGACGCGTTGTCGCACGAATTAACCGAGTACAGTTTCGAAAGTCCTCGCAAATTGTTGCTCTAACTCTTTGTCTCCTGATTTATGCGTGAGTTTTTGGTGTTGCCGTTTATTTGGGTACTTCGGATGATTGAATGTTGCGTACGTTAGGAAGGAACATCGTTCAACTCGTACGAACCGGTTATAATGAAAGTACGTATGTATGTAGTTAGATTA